CACCTCAAGCGTGGAATGACCTTTATGCATCCTCACTGAAGTAGACGCTTAGGAACTGTCCGATGATCGAGCAGCTCTGCATCTGACCCGAAGCCCAGCTGGGGGCCGTTCATTGCTGGCCACCCGTGTACATGCGACCTGCCACTAGCTTTTCGCAATACATTGCGTGCGGAGTTCTCACTGCGACTACAGCACGTACTACTGCGATTTGTTGGGTAAGTCTATGTATCAATGCTGTATCCTGGCGAGCCAGGATCCTTCGGCCATTCTGATACGGTATGATTGATCTTTTTTTGAACTCATCAGACATGTTGCTTCTTCTTGAGCAGGAGGATAAGCTGTGCGCCGTCGGCTGCCCGTTCCTACGGCTACTACATAATGAAGGTACTAGCCGGCACTTTCCAAACATTTGAAATGTGAAACCGGCCGGCCAACGAGGTCGCACATCAAGCGGCGAAGAATCTGGCTATACCTCATCCCGCAGCCCTCCAGTAGTCCTTGTCATCAACATCGGACTCCTCGTCACCGTGCTCGAGCTCCATATTCTGCTTGCGACTGTCCTCTTGCTCAATCCGCACTAAGTTGCCGTCAGCCGCTCCGTAGAGAGGGGGACCTGAAGATGTCCTCCAATCTGGTGACGGTTGACGACAGCGACACTGCAAGCATCAATTATCTTGCAGCAGCAAATGGCGACGATTGGATACCTATCTTACCGCCGAACAATCCTAACGTCTGGGATGGAGATTTAACGGAGGCAGCCAGCGTAGGCCTGTCCGCCATCTTCACCTTCACAGGTACGTTGCAATTCAGGTTGTGAAAGCTCAGCAAAGTCGATCTCAAGGGAATGTAAACTTGACAGGGTCGCAGGTATTCGTGTATGGTCGCATTCAGCCTCCTCAGAATGGCGATGATCCGCCACTGTCGCTTTACAGCGTAGGCGATATCACGAACCAGGCCTTTGTTGCTCCGACCGTCAACGCTACAATGGACAATGTCTCCTTCTTCAACTCGACCGTTATGCCGTACGGTCGTTACACCCTTACCATCAACGTCGTGCGGGCCAGCTCCAACTCCCCGTATCTCCTCGATTATATCCAGTACAACATTACGGACCCGAATGCTTCGTCCCCAAGCGCAGGTAGTACTGCTGCATCCAGTTCAGGTGCAGCGGTAGGTCCCACTAGCGCTCATGCTGCTATCAAGTCCTCGTCATCCCCACCAGTGGGTCCTATAGTCGGCGGCGTAGTTGCAGCTGTGGTTGTCATCGCAGCAGCTGTGATTGCATTATTGTGCTGTTGTATGCGGAAGAGAAGGCCAATCTACCTGTTATCGGCTACGGACCCTGCCACTGGTAAGTCCTGGTACTTCGGATGAAGCATCGGTGCGCTCTGACCACAAAGGTGTAGACGCGGCGACCCACATAACGCCTTATATGGTATCTAGTAACGCAGCATCGCAGAGTCGCCTGAGCGGGTTGCCTTCGACGCCCTACTCACCGACAACGAGGGAGATCGCCAGTACCTATTCTCTTGGCGCTAGCGCCGGGGAAGGCAACAAGGGCCATTCAGCAAGCAAGGCGCAGCGTGCCGCAGGATACCAGCCAGGGTATTCCGTGGCAGGGTCCGCCTCTGCGGGGAGTATTGCAGGGGATAGGTCGGCGTATTCAGACGGTGCCAGTGGAATGGCCGGCGCCCCCTCCGGCGTCGTCAGGGGCACGACACACTCGCACACCCATTCCTCGTCGATGTCGAGCGTACACGACCTACCGAACTTTGTGCCGAAGGGTCAGGGACACACGAAGAGCTCGAGGTCCGAGTCAGAGTCACCGCTGAGGGCAAACCTCTCGGGTGGGTCTGCAGTGGAAGGCGGGGCGAACGCCCAGGAGGACTCAGGCCTGAGGTTCCAGCCGGGCGTGACTCCGTCAGACGTTGCGCCGGTGCTGCCACCTGGAGTAATGCCTATTCGGTCGATGGCGACGGTATCGGAGGTTGCGAGGGCGGACATACCCCCAGCGTATACGCCGAATTGAGGGTATGGAAGGATGGTTCACGAGCATGGTGGTCAACCTTATGTTTGTCATATGGTGAGGTTGGACGTTTCTAAACAGTCTCTTATGCCGTGGACTTCTCCTCCTTACCAGAAGGGGAGGGGCCACTGGAATCCTGATATCTCTTCGATATTGCGGATGGTAGTCTCGCATTCTTTTTTCACAATGTAACGATAGCGTTGGCCACTTGTAGCCCTTTATGACCATTTGGACGTGTCTACGAAGATTGTTCCGTACCCAGTATAAGAGGACCCAACGACGGCTGTGGATTCCAAAGCACACCTGGATCATGGCTCCACGACCACCGTCGGTTTGCCAGGTCGTGGCATGCCAGCGCCTTGCCTCCGTCCGCTGTCCTCGAAGTCTACAGCCTGATGTTGGACGTGGCCGTCAGGCCGTCTAACGCAGGTCGATGACCATTAGTTGATAATGTAACCACCGTATTTGCCATATAATGGCATCCGAGCTCCGTATCGTCTGTGCGTCCTCTCCCACTTATTACAACCCTCCTGAGGGCTATGCATGGTCGATGAGAGCTTTTCTACAGCGTTGTGTACTTACTGTACAAAGCGGAAGTTACACGGAGGGGTGTGACAAGGGTATCACGCGTGATCTGAGTATGTGACGCTCGTGACGCTGGGGCTGGTGAGCGCGTCACGCTGCGCCGGAGCACTCGTTGGCAGTCGTCCGCTCGTCCTTGTGCAGGCCTTCCTTGCTGTCGCCATCTTGCTGTACCTTGGTCGCAAACCGCTGTCGATATCCCCTGTGTGTAGCGAACTGTTGTGCAATTCATTACGATGGGTGGTGCAGGTGGGTCTTGTGATACGCATTATATGCCGTCCTCTTCAATGCAGGGAGCTGACGTCGACTTCAAATGACTGTCCCCGCGTCATGGAATCGCCGCCTCTGTCGTCGCTTTCCCATACATGCAAATACCTCCCTGGAAAACCTAAACTCCACGGCCGGTTCGCCAAATCCCAACGTGCTCGCCATCGGAAACTTGCCCTCCTCGCGCGTACCTTTCTGACGTCTAGGATGGCTTTTTCTCTTCTCCGTGCTCATGTCCGCTGGTCTCCTGTTCACCATGGTCTTCTTCGTACGTCTCACAATTCAACCCCCTCTCCTCGTCCCCAGGGTTGCTTTCACTCACGTTTCATCGATGAAGATCATCATGTTCTCCGACCTCGAGTGTGACTACATCAACCCCATAGATCTCTGCAATAAGCTCAATCAGGTCTGTTTCCTATCGTTTCCCGACGCCCTACATAGTCCTGACTGACTCAACCGTCTGTACAGTTCGTCCTTCCTGAGAACATCGCGCATGCCTTCCTCTCTTTGCTATTCCTCCTTTCCGGTCAATGGATAGCATTCCTCCTTAACGCACCCTTACTCGCGTATAATATCAACAAGTACGTCTCTAGTCGCGGCTCTGACATCTCCAAGCGAACTGCGCTGAACGGCGATTGCGACCCGCAGGATCAGGAGTGGGAACCACATGTACGACGCGACGGAGATTTTCCGTACGCTACCGAACCACAAGAAAGAGAGCTTCTTCAAGCTTGGTTTTTACCTCCTCAGTTTCTTCTATTACCTTTACCGGTGCGTGTTTCCTGCCTCGTCTTCCTCTTTCCGTCTTGCGCTGGCACCGCCGGATGAATCGGTACTGAACTCGGTCCGCTTGAACAGAATGATCCTCGCGCTCATCCAGGAGAGCGAGTGAGCACTCATCCGGGCCTCCTCTACGTCCTACCTCCAGGTCTCTATTACGAAATCTCAATGCTTAGCCCGCTAACATGAGCTGTCAACGAGTTACGACGGAGACGAGCGCACGAGGGCGGGTGAGGCGTAGTCTAGGTGTGTCGTGGCGAGTCGGAAGCTATGAACGGGTTATGAGATCTGGCTGGTGAGGGGCGGTAAAATGCAGAGGGAGAAGGGACGCGATGGGACGAGGCGCGTTCGGACGCTTGCTCGAGCACTGATCTACTCTGCGCGTACGTAGCTTGCAACCTTGCTTGTTTTCTCCTTTCATCCTCTCCCACACCCCTCGAACGTTTGTTCTCTGAGTCGCGGCGGCAGTTTGCAGGTACTAGCACGATTGTTGCTGATCGTTGGCATACGTCTGGGACTGGCCGTCCTCGATGGCCATTCCCGGTCTTTCTCGAAGACCTCACCTGAGGATAATGGACTGTCGAACCATGGTGAAGTACGCCAATCTGTCATCGAATCATAGCGACGGTTCCCTGCTAGACCCACAATCACAAGCACGTAAGTTGGGTGTGCCTCCACTTCTACTTGCGGATCTGCCAGTGGAAACGCTCACCACTAGCTCATCAGCATTCCAGATCCCGTGAAAGCCGTTCACAGTTCGCACTGTCCGTCAGGCAGAACGCGAATCTGCGCTAATGCCAGTTGGAATACGTATGCTAGCTGGTGTAGTCGCAAGACAGGTGTCCGCGTACTATGCAGCGCAGTCGCGAACATCAGACTACGATGTCATCACTACGCACCTCGGACTCGAGCGATCCTCATGGATTGAAGGAGAATCTCAGTATCCCATGGTGTATGAAGTATACGGGAGGACAAGCAGTCGGGGCTCCTTCGGAATTCCTGTAAAGCCATGCTTATGGGTGCTTAACGCTGGACGCCGACGTTCAACGTTCAACATTCCGGACGGAGCGTCGACGAAGGACGGGATTTGAAGGGTATTAGGGATGTTAAGTCTATCAAGCTGTACGAGTCTTGTCCGAAGCTGCTGGCCGTGTATTCGGTGGCGTGCACAGTGCTCAAGGGGCCTGAGCTTCGCGGACGGTGACTCCGGTGAGCACTGAGATTTTACTGAATATTGAGGCCTGAGGTGAGGTGACCTACTGTATGCCTCACTAGGTTTGTTACTGGTAAAAGTTTCTACAAGGACATTCACACCGGGGAGCCCAAACCCGCTGCATCAAAACAATGTCCCAGGGAGGATTCGAGCCTCCGTCTTCACGGCATTGTGTATCCACAACGTGATGATCTGACCACTAATCGACAAGGACCATAAACCTGCGGTGGCTATCATAGACCAGAGTCGCAATGTGCGGTCGCTTATTTGGAGACGCCTGTCTTCAACGGCCAGACACTAGGAATGCATGTCATCGATGACCAGAGTACGGGTAACATCTCACCTTCGTCTCCCCTTTCCCTTACATTACTCACAGCATAGTCACCCTCGCCCTTCTTCTCTTATGCAGGATTTACCACATCCTTGGCATCATCATGGCTGCGCTCCGCCTTCCATACCCCTCGAGGGCCATGAACGAGGATTCAAATAAACAGACACTCATCTCGATCTTGGAGCTTAAAGCTTGAACAGCACACTCCACGGTAGCCTTGGACGGCGACATCTCGCAGAGGACCGATTAGGAGGAGTCAGCATGTCAGGACAATCGAACCTCTCGAATGTACACCAGCTGACCCAGATCAGCTGTAGAGAGCTCCGCGGAGGGCTTCAGAATAGTGCACAATTATGTATAAACATATCTAACAAGACTACAAATCGTTACGCCCGAAGGATATTTTCATTGGATCATCAAACCATTGGTATACAAGGTCCATGCAGGTTTGTAGTCGTCCGAAGGTGAGGATTCGCCATTCATATATGAGCCTCGCGAGATTGAGCAGTCGGGTCGTCCGCAAAACTACATAACTAGACAAGCAAGACGATGGCCAACGCACGCGGCGGCACTTCCCTCGTGGCATTCCATGGGAGATGACCGGGAATCCGGAAGCAACTGCGTCTTCCGCTTCAGTGTGCCAAACAGATCGTTGCTGATGATAAAAACACCGTTTCTGGAGGCGCCCGATACAATACAAGAAGGATAAAAGTGATAGACTACTGTACCTGCTGACGTAGCACGACTCGGCTTGAGATGTAAGAGGATGTATTCTGCCCGGCTACGTCGCATCCGCTGCGCACAGCTGTACGCACTAGTGGAATGCGATAGGAATGACAGGGTCGGCCGTCCTCATGAGTACGACGGCTCTTTGATGATATATGGGCTTGATCAGGATGTGCATTGGGCAGGTGCTCCACGCTCACTACAAGGAATGGTCAGTTTTTGTTCCCAACAGCTCTTAAGACACGAAGGACAGAATCAGGGGTATCAAATTCTGGAGCACGCCCTCACGAGAAAAGAGAGGTATACTCCCTGAAGAAATTCAAGAAAGAATGGCATCATGTAGAAGCACTCAAGAGAAAGACACATACCCGACCCACCACAACCAGGTATCCGTCACCAGTGATCCCTTCGCCATATTGGGTGAAGACAAGAGCGAACGAGCGAGCGTTCGAGGGAGCAAAAAATTCGCCAGGGCCGCGCTGAAAGAGAGTAAGCCCCATTGTGTTCGCGGCGCTCGCCGCGAAGGAAAGCAGACCGCAACCGCATAACTGTGTCTATGAGCAACATATAGCACTGTACCACACACCGCACGCCTGAGCGACCGCGGCGCTCGGGGACGTCTTCGCGCCGCGGCCACCGACGCCAGACGTGCAGCGGGCCATCGTGCAGCAGAATGACCGTTGGACGCGAGCTCCACACGCCAGCTCTGCATGAGACGACGCAAGAGCAGGAACGTCCGGCCGTCCCCACCCGTACCGCCGTGCTTGGGGGCGGTCGCTTTCCAGAGCGTGCGGGGACACGTTCTGCGTCTCCGGGGACTTTCCCCACAGCCAAGGAAGAAAGGGCGGACCTCTCTGTGCGGGAGCTGCGAAAGCGGTTCTTCAGACAGCACGGTGGTCGGCAAGAAATTTCGGACGGGAAGCTATAAGGGAAGTTGTTCAAGCGGAGCTTGAGGTCAAAGCCAGCCAAGGTCAAGCTCCGACTGAACAGAAGTGGCGCCGCCGTACGTGAGTTGTTCGCTGCAGCCGCCATTGCGGGACCGTACCGACTGGATGACTACAGTCACTTCGAAGCATCTTTACTAAGTACTCACTAGCACTCTCGGTTTCGTTCCATAAGCTCGACATGGCCCCAAATGCATCGTCGTCATCTTCCTCTCCGTCATCGCCTTCGCCTTCGTCATACACGTCCCAGGATCCGCCGCCTCGTTCGGAACTCTGGTGGGACCGGCTACCCTCTCTCAAGATAGTACGGCCACCGAAAGGTGCGAGACTGTCCAGAGAGCTATGCGCCTATGCCGATGATAGCGCTCACAGCTCTTGCATAGGTCCCTTCTCGCCAAAAGTTGATGAGCGATGCTTCACATACTGCTCACAGAGCGTCACCGGCCGAATACACGGTCACGACCCGTGGTGCCGCTCGCTGTGTGTTCGCAAGGTCTTCATGCATGAAGTCACCCGCATCCTGTCCCGTCACACGACGCAGACAGTGCACAAACAGCCCGGGAAGCTACCGCGACGCGAAATCACCGAGACCATCGAGACGGCCCCGGTTCACCATCCCCTCCCTCCTGAAGGCCAAAGATATGCAGGCTGGATGCAGGCTCTTCTTGGCCATTCCAATGATGCCAACGACCATTCTCCACGCACTGACGAGCATGCAAAAGCGGAACTGAAATACTGGAAGGCGGGCTGGTACCTCTGGTGGTCGAAGAGTAGATGGGCAGCACAGGAGAGGATGGACCTCATGCGACGTTCTCTCGGCAGCCAGACAGAGTGGCAGCAGATGAAGGAGAGACGCAACGAGGAGTGGGAGCGCGGCGCGTCCTATGACGAGCATAGGCTTAACGAGGACGTGCATCAGCTAGGCGACCCGGGCAATCAACCGCCCTTCCCGGACGTCTCGTACGTGCCTCGCCGATTAAAGCTGTCGAGTTCGCGGTCCTGACGTATTCACTGGACTGATTAGACACGAGTCAATACTGCTCCCCCTGCCTGATGGCTTCCCCCTCGGAGAACAGTTGCGTAACGTGCTTGCGCCGAGTTGGAAGGTGCTCGGGCTCGTGCGGGAAAGCGTCACGTCGGGTGCACAGATGGAGCTCGCGCAGAGGATATATGAGAAGGCCTTGACGGATGAGCCTATCAAGCTGCTCCGCGTGGCTTGCTCGATGATCTGGGAGAATATGGGCTTTGGCGAGGACGACAACTCGGATTCGACAGATACCAGGAAGAAGCCGTGACTGTGTCGTTTGCTGCGCGTGACATTTTTGTGTATCTTTAGAGTCTTGCGTTTCATACGGTAGACTTGGGGATAATCATACACTCTGTACTTGTAGCTACGAGAGCAGGAATCCTTTATCATAACGACGCCCACAATAGATTAGTGCCATTAACTGACTTCAACGTGACGCCACCCGTCTACCGAACAGCAAGCTCAGCTCTGCGTGATATCTGAGTCCATGACATGCTGCCATGTGCCAGATATCATAGCATTACGGACCTCTCAGTCATGCATGGTCTCATCTGGCCGCAGTTCCCTATCACACTGCTTGGCCTAACGGATTTCTCATAGTCCATCCCGTCGTAGGAAGACCCTGCAAAGACCAGTTTGAGCTGCAGTCCCAGGGCGTCTCAAGGTGAGTGGTGTACGCTTGCGGATATTGTAATAAGATAGTACAGCGGTTGTCCCGGAGCTCAGCTGCCGATGGTGGTCAGCACGGGTCATGGATATTTCGACCTGCCACATACGGAGGAGAGCCTGCAGTGCACGCTCCGTGAGGATCGCAGATCGTTCGGGTCGTGTCCGATGCGACCAGTCTGCATACAATAGTGTGGCCACGGCCTGAGACCTTCCCATCGAGTCTTTTGACCAAGGTAGTTCTGCTGCAGAGACCATTGAACCATTTCGCATTCAGACAACTCAGTCTTCAATGCGGGATCATTGAGATGTACATGGGTCATCGCGTACCTGATTTTCGTGCCAGGCGAAAACGGGGCGCGTCTACGAACCTTCCCCTCCTCCCTTCCTGCAAGACATACGTATGTCCGTAGGCTGGCCGGTACGCTCTCTATCCATATACCGTCTCTCTTTTCTTCGCACCTTCGCGAGATGAACATCGTGAGACGACTGGGTCAACAAAAATTCAAGACGAGCCGCACATGTCATGGGAAGGCTGGACCCTCTACCGCCGGGACTGCAGTGAAGATTTTGCTGGAGCATCACTACTCTCAAACGTGATGGTGCCCTGCGCATTGCCGCCGACAAGCACCGTGCGGGATTTTCTACGTGATGCCGCCGATGCGTGCTTAGATTGGGTGTTCGGGGCAGGGTCGTGGACCCTTGACGACTGTCTACACCACACAGATTGATTGCAGCCTGTCAATCAGTAAGGTAGACGGAGCGTGCATAAGAAGGCTAGCGTTTGCAGACTCGAACCGCTCACCAACCCTCGCTCAGCTCTGCGTTCTCTCCCCCTGCGCGTGTTCAGACGCTCAACGGTGAGCGTGTACCTCCGAGGAGGGCAGTCCGGGAGTAGCATGATGGCTCAAGGTGATGGACGCGCTGAATGACTTGACAGTGACGGCTGCACGCTCGACCAAGATTATGGAGTAGTCGCATTGAAACGCTCCGAGTCCGATGCTCACTCTTCCTGCGGGAGTTGCAGACGGCGTTTTGGGGTGGGTCAAGTGCACGGCATGTGAGCATATACCGTACTGTACTGTACATAGCGCCCGCACGCAGTGAACAACCTCGTACGCTGACTCGCGCGCACGAACAGGAGAGAAAGAGCTTCCGGCCCCCCTGGATGCCACGCCACGGTGGCAGAATCATCAGGGAGACGCGTTCGACGTTGTTGCGCAGAGCTCTCCGTCATCAGAGCGAGACGTACGTAGAACAGTAAGTGCAGGGGGGTGGGGGGGGGGGGGGGGGGGGAGGGGGCGAACCCATCGTGGGATGGCTCGTGGGCAGGGAGATCAAGTCGAGCTTCGAGCTGATCCTTCTTTGCCTCGCGCCCTGATCTGCCTGGCTGCGGATGATGCCCGTTTGATGCCGTCCATAATCCGACTGGCACCGGTGCGAAACGCGCTGCCGGGGGTGGGACTGGATTGGTGATGGTGGGAGGACGAACCCAGGAAGAGTTGCTGTAGGCTGTGCGC